AAAGCTGTGTCATCAGTGTCATCTAAGTCTATGTCTGATATTTCTGAGCAGGCCGCGTCCGACTGGCAGTCCGAAGCAGTACTACATAGTACTACCTCATCCCACTCCTCATCTTGCAACCACCAAACTAGGAATCAAGTCACACCCTCATGCACATCAACAGCAACATGGGACACTGAAGGTCCAGCATGGGGCTCTTCATCAAGCCACGGCGACCGGCTTCTGACTCGCCACGGCGACCGCCACGGCGACCGCCTTCCGGCCCTCTGGCGGACTGAGTCCGGATCTGGGTGGTGACTCCCTTCCCCCGTACCCACCGGTGTTTCCCGCGTTCGGGGCTGAGCATGAACAGATTCCTCCATGTGTCGGGAGGTCAGCCTACCCATGGGGACTGGTCGGGGAGGTGCCATGACTCACCCCATGCGTTTCAGCACACCACCCCTGAGGCGTTCGACTTGCTGCAGCCCCAGGCAATGAGAATGGCGTTGTTGACCTGGGGAAGCAAGCACCCAGCATGTCGTTGTTGGCATGTCGCCGATCCCAGCAGGAATGGTCATCAAAATCAGATCGAGATCAAATGAAAGTTGTTTTACATTCCAGATGCTTCAATCATCTAATCCACCACCGGCCTCTGGATGTCTCCTCCATGCCACCAAACGAGCTTGAGAACCTGAAGTACCTGGGCCTTGATCACTTCCACCCCAGCTTCGTTCGACCTGAAGTCTCCCCAAGCGGTGGACCCGGTCCAGGACCGGTACTCGTTCCATGGACAGCCCCGGTCCTTGGTCACCTGATTTGGAGTGGGGGCGAGGAGTGGCAGGGGTTGAAAACGGGACACCCCTGAAAAGAGTGTCCACTCTGAGTGGCTTGCCGGGTCCTTTCCAGGTGTCAGATCACTCCCTGACACCACCGCGATCGGCCAAGAGGCGCAATCGAAGAAGCGAAAGGCCTCGTCGCAATGGGCGAAGCTCGCCTGCAGCGGCTGCAGGGAGGATGGGCAAGGAAGGCCAGGAGGGCATCATCTGGAATCATCTCAAAATCCAAAAGCCTGGCCTGGTGGCCATAGTCCTTGCACCTGCTTTTGTCACTCAAATTCTCTTCGGTTGAAGGAGGGAAAATCGATGATCTCCTTCTTGGCTTTCCCCCTGACCCCCACACCTCGCAGCCACGCACGGCATAGCTCGCCCCAAGGAGCCCCACGAACGAGGCCAACAGTGCCCAAGGGTCCTGGCGAAGCGAGCGCGAAGGGGGGGCGCTGATTCATGGACAGGACGCCAGATCGGCATGATGGACTGCTGACCATCAAAAAAAAGGGATACCCTTACATAATAGATAGATGTTTTAAAAAAAGGATACCATATGCCATATACCCTTACAACAAAAGGATAGATAATTACCCGGTTACCATCCCTGTACTTCCTCATATTGATCTCATATATAGAAACCAAGACGGCACCGGACCGCAGCACCAGCCTGTGGAGCCCCGGTCCGACCGGCCCGAGCACGTCACCGAGCCTGCCACCCAAAGCGCCGGCAGCCGGGCCTCAACGTCGCACGACGAGGAATAGGGGCAAACGCACGCCATCCACAGACCCTACAGGTTCCAAAACCCAGCAAACTCTGATCCTACCATGTTTCATGATCAACTTCAGAATGATGTCTTGGACCTGCAGGGGCAGGGGCAATTCAATATGGGTGTGCATTATCAACGGAGCGACGGATTGAATGTTTGCAGCTGTTGCTTTTCGCCAGCATCAGGTAGTCGAGGCTCTACCCAACAACGAGTCTTAGGTGTTCGTGTCCAATCGCGGCAAGAAGTCACTGGACCGACATGCGGCATAAGATCTTTAACAAATTGCAAGGAGTAAGAAAAACATGGTACAGCGTACTACCATATTGGAAATCGACGACTCCAAGCCTAAGATGGCAACTCCTGATTTTCGACGCTGTTCAAAAATTACCTGCGGACTAGAACCTGTCCAGCTCACACAAGCCATGATGGAAAAAAAACGACTCATTTCAACTGCGATGCCTGAGAAAATTCTCGGAATCGGGCGGCATTCATAGATATTCTTAGAAACAATACCAATAATGCAGTTCTTCAGCGATGTACAAATAGTGTACACATGTCCTCTCTTCGGCAAAAACTATCTTCAACGTAAACCGAAGGGCACGTACTTAGAACCAGCGATGATGATGATGATGATGATGATGATGATGATGATGATGATGATCCTTCAACGCAAGTTTCTTGAACCAAGAACAGCGAACAGAGTGAACTACGGTGAACGACGGTGTGGGCATCCCAAGCAAATTTGGCTGCGTTTTGCAAAGACAACCGCTTTTGCACTGGTGTGATGTGTGAAGACGACTATACGGAATCTATGGGAAATGATCCCCGAATCGATAATGCGGCCTTGAACCGAGAACTTTATTTTTTACCATTCCTCCTTGCGGTATGCCAACGCCTTGCCGCTTTTGACGTTGCTTCATTGCACGGTATGGTATGGCCTGTGTGGTGCTTGACACACTCTGCCACAGTTGCCGTCAGCAGTAGCACACCCGTTTCAAGACTCTAACTGACCAATGGTGCGCATGGTTGGCTCCTACATCATCCTACTCCCACCAGCTATAGTCAAAATACATGCCATCACCATACACCTATAATATCCTATACTCCCGAGTACCTATGTTAAAGGAGCCTCCCCGAAAAGAAAAAAACACCATGTCCGAAACCCTATTATAAACACCTCACCTTCGCTCCCACCCCACCTCTCCGGCTTCTTTCTCAGGCCGTGCCTGGACATGAGCAACACATAGCCCGTGCCGCCGCCAAAGGCGGTCACCAGGGCGCTCAACAGACCGTGCAGCCAAAGGTTGCCTGGGCAAACGGAAAGACCGTAGACTCTTGATTCGCCAGCTCATATGAGGAGGTTGTTCAATTGGAGGGTGATTCATCAAGAGTCTACAGTAGTCATTTCTACCATGATGACTGATAGTGGATGACTGATGGTGGAGGTCATGGGGGGTCACCGAAATGTGTGAGCCCTGAGGCAATCACCGCGAGCGATTTGGTTGACTGATTACAGTGGTTTCGGAGTACCTAGATGGCACTGGCACCCCGTTCGATGTCTTTGTAGATGGGGTCCATATGAACCACCGACCTTGGGGATTGTGCCATCTACCCTGAAACCACTGTATGCCAGACGTGTTCATTCACCATGCATCAAGATGATTCTTTGTCATTCACATGTGGTGCTCCGTGTTATAGCCGCGTCCCAGACCATGTACTCTGAAAAATCCTGATGATGTGGACATGCACCTTTCCACGCAGCTTTCGGCTTTGCATATGGTAGGAACTCATGTGTGGGTTCTCCATCTGCAGTCTGCAGGGTCCTAGAACCGGCTGAAACATTCGTAGCTCGTGGGAACCACCTCCAGGCGTGACCTCTACGGAACAGCACCTGCCCTGTCCCAGGTTGGGGGAACAGAATCCCCTTTTTTCTAGACTCCGTGCAAATCACCAGAGCAGTTTTGATCTCTTTTTTAGCATGGCTTGACTTGGGAATTTCCGGGAGAGGGCCTGGCGACCAAGCCACAGAAAGAGAAACAACCTTGAAGAATGCTGGACCTCTTCTTGGGTTTGCTCAAGCCGGAAAACATTAAGAGGATTCAGCCATAGGATGCCATAGGCCAATACGGAAAATAAGAATCACCCCAAGCCAAGCCTCAGCTCCGAAGAGAAAGGAATTGGAAGTGATTGGAATGATAGCTACCACCCAAGATCACGAGTGTGCCCGTGTGCTCCATGACTCCTGAGGCCGCCACCATACAGTGGCTCAGGGTACTTGAGCTGCACGCAGCGGCCACCAATGTAGCCACAAATGACCAAGGAAAAAAAGGTCCTGGCTCGGCACGAATTGGCATGGCGCGGTGGGGTGAGGTGTGGGGCATGTAAGGCCCTTCAGACTCAACAGACAAGGCAGCCAAGCGGTTGGAAAGAAAAAACATGCACCTCGCCAAGCGTGTTCGGCAGTGAACGAGGCTGTTCAGTGACATGAATCCCCATGGATGGGCTTCACATCGTCTCCAGACAAGGAATTGGTCATGTCAAGGGAGTTCCGGTGATTCGCCACGTACTTAGTCCGTCCCGTCCCGTCCCGTCCCCCCCCGATGTCAATGACCCCCTGGGTGCCAAGCTGATAGCTGGTAAGCTAAAATGGCAGGCGCAGAAGGCGTTGGAACAGCTGGAAGGCACATGGCACTTCGCAGGAGTTGGGCACAACACCCGTAATGTGGCTTTGGTACTCTGGTCGGCTTAACCAGCGGTTCCACTCAAAAGAAACTGATAGACACGTTAAATCAAATGGTATTTGCCTCTTCGCTACCCAGAACAACGCCTTAGCTCCAGGTCGGCAAACCTCTTAGAAGGAGACCTGCCCGGGGGGGTCCGTTCGTTTCATCGAGCCTCTTGTGATTCGTTCCATGCTTGAGCAGCAAACTTTTCGGTTTGGCTTGGCACACCACACTCAGCTCGGAGGGCCGGTTCGGCCACAGATCATAAAGGCTCAGCTCGGGGACCTTCCAAGTCTGGTGACAACCATGCACACCCCTTATATCACCTCTATAGTAAAAGGCTAATTATAGACATCTCATGGATGGTCCTGGTATGGGGAGAATTTTGTGTGGATTATTTTTAAGAAATCTACCGTCCGCAAGATTCAGGGAGTTGCAATGGAGTGCTTCAAGCGGAAGATTATGAACAGAACGGTGCCTGCACTTCACTTGCCAAAGGTAAAGCAAGCGTGATGCACTTAGTACAGTACATGGCAAGAGTTAGAAACCAGCAAAATCCCTGAATTATTGAATTTAAAAATCCGTAATGCTGCTGGGCAGTCAAGGTCCTTCGATTGTAGTTATCAAACTCCTTCTGCCATTCACCTGATTTATATATTCCTTGCGTCAGTGAGCATCCCTTCGCCTTTCTCTTCACCTTTCCCCTTTTTTCATCCGCCAACCTCAGCTCCGATCGCACCACGCCTCGCCGGTGACTTTTGGCCGGGGGTCGCTCCGATCGCCTTCACCGCCCGCGCCGCGCCGCTCACTTCCCATCCGTGCGCGGCCGCGCGTCGGGCGGCGGACCGCCAAGGGCGAAGGTGTCCGGGAGCAGCGCGGCGCCCGAGCCACCGCCGGACCAGCCGAGCATGGCGCTGTCCTTGGGACTGGCAGACTTGCAAGAGTCCAACTCCAAAGGTGGCACCTTTTGACGCACGATTTTGGGGCACCCGAACCGTATAATGTGTATATATATATATATATGTGCAATATTTTTATATGGTATATGTTATACTATATATATATATATTAATATACAATTTTTGCATTATCTACTAGGTGTGGTCTAGACAATATCTACAAATATATGCTATAGGCTATATACACAAAAAATACCAGGACAGTGGTCAGCACTGACCTGCTGCAACTGGGACCTGGGGACTGGCACCACTCGGGTCGACTCTCGGCCCAAGTCTCACAAAGCATTCCCTCAGAGGGGCAGCCGCCGACCTGGGCTCCGTTCAGAAGCATGCATCCTTTCAGGTTCCGTTCGTTTCGGGTTCAGTGTTGTGTCAGCGACCTCTGGTCGTTTCTGGATGCGTCGTTTCATGTGACTTTCCCATCACCCACTTCAAAACAAGGTCGTCGGGAAAGTCTTTAGGAAAGTCTTTAGTGGCTCGTTCTTTCCCGGTCATCCATCGCGATTCTTGAACATGGAAAGGAAGGCAGAATCCACGACCTCGTGTTCGTGTACTCTTAGAGGTCGTGTATGCTTCAGCTCATCACCGCCGAGTGCTCCAAAGGCCGATGAAACGACACTCCACACGTGGATGGCAAGGCTTTATATAGAATATATCATATGGACAGTAGACATATAGACTACCATATACCTACAGCGGTTGAGCAACCGCCTAGAAGTTCAGTCTCAACTGCAATTGCCCATGGTCACCACCAAAACAACGGAAACTCCTTCTCTTGCAATACAGAATCATGTAGACTCTTCAAGACCATACACCCCCCATATGAAGAGGATGTTCAATTCAAATGGTGGGGCGATTAATCAAAGAGTCGAACATTAATAACATGTTCCGCAGTCACAAAGGGGTGCTTAATGGAGGTTAGGGGTGCCCAGAACATCCACTCACTGGATGGGACAAAACATGACCAAACACTACCCCAGGCCTTTGTGACTGCTGGTTTAGATATGTTTGGATAGTCTTGCACTCCCATTGGCGCCATGCATGGCCTATCTCCGCCTTCGCCTATCCACCCTGGCAGATCGCCGGAACAGACCGAGAGACCGGCGGACCGGCACGACACTCCAACGAACACCATCACATGGGAAGTGGATGGCACCTACTGTTTTCGTGTGAGGAAAGTCGTCTTCCAAGAGGCGCATGATTTCCACTTCCATGTCGATGTGTTCGTCATCTGTGTAACGACTGGGCCGTCTGAATCGGTAAGCCCGAAAACAACGTTGGGTGGCAGGCAACCGGCTACGACGACGGACGCGTCCGATCGCTCCGTTCGTAGCGATGCCAGGAGCGCCCCGTTCCTAGCGTCCTTGCTCCGGCCCACAACCCTCCCAAAACCAGATCCTTTTGGACACATCCCACCGCCGCCGTGAGTTCGAAGCGCCTCTTTGATCGTCCTTGGGAACATCCACGTCTTCGGGTCTCTGACGGCGACCAGTACATCGCCCCACGTCGGCGGTGACATGCCACCGGTGAAACAGCAAAAGTTCTTCTTGAGATCTGCTCTTCTTCCCCAGGTGCGGATATTCCCCCCGAGAAAAGAACGCGGATCTGCCCTCCTACCTAGGACCTAGGAAATACGGCACAAGACCGCAAGTGTTTGACACTTGCATGGCCTGGTTTGGGTGGGGGTACGAGATCAAGACCTGTCATGTCGTGTCGGTGTGGCTCCGTTGCTCTCGTGTCATGATTCATGATCCTTTCATCCTTGCTCCTGATGTCACATTCTCCTTGCGATCTTCTGAACTCAAAAAAGACTCTCAGTCAGGCGTGTCGGATCTTTTCTGGCCTCAAGTTTCACCTGGTCTTGATCCCGCTTCTCCACTTCACATCCCCTGCTTCCGCCAGGGCCCTCCATGCGTCACGGCCATCGCCGCCCCACGCCGCGCCACGCGCGGGGCCGCGGAGATGGGCGGCAGCGCGGTGCCGAGCCCCGACGGCGAGGCCGGGCGCAGGTGCAAGCGCCACTCCGTTTCCGCGCGGAAGTCCGCGCCGCGCTTCGGAATGGTGAGCTCTTCGTGGCTCCGGGATGCCAAGAGTCGCGTTGCCTCACGCTTTTGATGGCAGTCAAAGCGGCTGTCTGGGCTTGAGCTTCGACCGTGAGGCCGACAAGGGACTGTTGGTGCAGTTCAGTGCGCATGTTACTGAAGTAGCTATGCCGACAACACCCTTGGCCACTCGTTCATCCTTGGCCAAAGTGTTCTGCCTGACACCCATGGAGACGGATGAAGGAAAATGCAAAACATTCAGAGCTCGCACAGAACCCCGAGACCCAGCCTGCAGTGGTGGGCTGATGCAATAATCGCCAGCATCGAGACCAATCCTGGACAAGCTGCTGCTCTGCAAAAGGCGGCAGGCACCAGTATAGTGCTCCTTCCGCGCGCGGAATAGACGTGCTGTAGGAACCGGCATTCGATGGAACAAGGTTGCACATCAACCCTGTAACCTTGTAACGCTGACCTGGCCAAAAGCCATCAAGGGCCAATCAACCGAATCCCGAATCCTTGCATTCACTCTAACGCAAAACCAAAAATGACGTCCTGGAAGAAGAAAAACAGACCAACACACACATTCACACACACACACACACGGACATACACATGCATATGTAAATATACATATATATTGTACATATAATATCATATAGATTCATATGTAGTATATTCCTCGACCAGGCTCTTAAGGCCGAATGTCGTGGTCTTTCGCCTCGGCGCCGGTCTCGATCCCGACCTGCCCCCCGTTCTCGATCCCGACCTTCTCCGCGAGCCGCCGCTGGGCGGCCGTGCAGGCTTCCCCCGGCATGGTCGGCGCCTTCTCCCACCACCGCTGCATGCTGGCCTGCTCGCGCGAGAGCTGCTCGCGGCGCCTCCGCTTCTGCTCGCTCAGCGTCGGCATCGTGGGGCCAGCGATGCGGAGGAGGGCTCGGAGCCGGTCGGCTGCAGGGACGGCGCACAGGGCTGAGATGAACAGTGGGGCCCCGTGGTTTGGTCCAAACGTCCGGTCCTAGCGTGGTGGTCCACTTCAAGGTGACAGTGGCTTTGGATGGCTTTGGGAAGTCCGAGCTAGGAGGATCAAGAAGGAATCTGTTTCTCATACCCTGGAAAAAGGTGAAAGGTGTTTTGATGTTTTTTTTGGGGTTCTTGACTTCAACCTTCCAAAAAAGAAGGCGTCTAAGTCTAAGTCCCCTAAATCTCATCACTCTCACTCTTCATCCAACCTATCTGGGACTCCCAGCCACGCTCTTTTTGAGAGGCTCCCCATCGATGATGGCGCCTACCTTGGCCACCACCACGCGGCTGCCCTCCTGGAATCGGACGGCATGGGGTGTGTGCATGTACAAACCCTATGGACATGTGTGGACTGATTCACATCAATTCACCCAACTGTGCTGGGTGCCCAGGTGAAACACGTGCAATAGTTTATTCGAATCATCCATGGAACTGCCAACTTGGCGTGCAGGCATGGAGGTGGTTGAGAAAGGGGTCAATGGGGCAGCATATATTCCATACATAGTGTCTGGGATACACACCAGCTGCTTCCGAGACGGGGCCCCCCCTCAGTGGGAAGCGCTAGGCATCTTCTGAATGTGCTTAGCACTTGGCCATCTAATCCAGGACAAGTTAGAGTTTGTGGAGTACTGGGTTAGTATGTCCACATGGTTCGTGGATGAAAACCATGCCGAACGCGGCGCTGGAAAACTGTTGACATTCGGGCTGGTTCTAACTTCATCTATGACTATGACCACATATATTTATATACAATATGTATATTTCTTTATAAAGCTATGTATAATTAGGTGTGTGTATATAATATGTATTTGTGTATATATATATATAACGGGGCCCCGCATGTTGGACGAACAGCCTTCAGGGCCTTCGGGACAAATGGCATCAATGCCGGAGGGTAGGGCCACCGAGTCTTGCGGGGCCTTTGATCGTGATGATTGACGATCTATGAATCTATGTGTCATGTGGCCCTTCTCAACTGGCCATGGGTGGCCTTTGCCGCCACAGCTGCAGCCGAAGTTGGAGTATAAAAGGATCACCCGCCCCGCCCCAACCATTTTGCCTGCCAGAACCATAGAGCGACTAGGAAAAAGATGCAAACCCTTCATTTCTGGTAGAAGGATACAGTAGCACAATGTAGCACATCAAGTTCCAATTTTGGGAGACTCCCTTGGATCAGTCTGTGGGAATGAATCAATGAAACGATGTCTTTTGCCGGCTCCTTGACGTTTGAGGCGTTGGTGACAATCTTCAAGAGTTCCTCACTTCCGACATCAACCTCCAGCTTCTTGAGCTTGTCCTCCAACAATTTGGTCAAAAACGTGTGAGCGGCATGAACCCATAACCTATAGAATCCTAGAACCTGAGAGACCTATTTTGGACCGCCACTCCCCAGCATGGTCTTTTCTATCACAACAGGGACCCATGGGTTCTAAGATCATAAGAGAGTACAATATGTATATTATATCAATATGTATGTCTATATACATAGGTCTATGTATGTCTATATATAGTTATGCGTGTGTATTTATCTGTATGTCTATCTCTATATATGTATCCGCGTGCGTAACTATCTTATCTAACAGAATCCACCAGCCTTCGACCTCTGCAATGACCATCGGTCCTTTCCCCCCCCCCCGCTTCGCGCGGTGCGTTCGCGGTTCACGCTGGTGCTGTGCGGCGCGGAGAAGGCGCGTCCACCTTGCCGGGGACCGGCTCACAGGTCTTCACCAAGGCCACTGCGAAGTGTTCGAACTTGCCATCGCCGGACACTGGCTTAGGCGCCTACGTGGGTGCGAAATTGGTCTCTTTCCTCCTTCAAGAGGGACACGGCTCGAACGTCAGCATGGTTGTGAATGAATGTGAATGAGCCAAAGCCATGGTTTTGCCCCTCTTTTCCTTTCAGTCGGCACCACACCTGCTCACCTCAAAATGTCATCAGCGTCATGGGCTGTCAAAAATAATCACCCGAGTTTTCCAGAAAAATATGGAGACGTCATATATAAATAGCCCTTCTGGTTATATAGAGTCTACCGTCTACGTTAGATTGCAAAGAGTTTCTGGAAAATCCATTGGCTGAACCTCTGGATCCGGAGAATGCCCTTCAACATTGAGATGAGCTCGGATGACCTCGGACTAGCCAACCCTTTGGCAGCCAAGAAAAGATCTACACCCTCCCTGGAACTAAAATGGAAGTGAACACCGTCTGCTTGTCAAGGAAAATGCTTTTCTACTGTAAGGGGCCATGTCCACTTCCATGTTAGTTGCAGGGAGTGTACAGTATAAAGATCAACCCCTGTCACGGTTGTATTCGGAAACTAAACGGTTGTATTCGGAAACTGGTATTCGGAAACTGGACGGTTGCATTCGGAAACTAATGTTCGGAAACTACGAAGAGCAACACCAACACGATTCACGGAGATCATCAATTTTTCACACAACTACCCGTTTATTGCTTTCCCCCCCCCCCCACTCCACCCCCACAAATTTTACAGAATACATCAGAATACGAGGAACATAGTGTCTGAATACCACGAAAATAGTTTCTGAATACAACAAACTTGAGAGAGGAGGGGGTGAACGAAAGGTAGCAGGCAATCACAAGTAACCCTGGTAGAAGTCCATGACGGCGTGAACCGGCGCAGGGGGGATTTGATCCAGGGGGGGCCCCCCCCCCCGGACGAACAGAATCAACTCTTACAGGACCAAACTCAATGCACAATCCCAACTCCTGATTGTAATACATTTTTGCTAAAGCAAGGAGAACTCAGGTAGCTCAAGCTACCTTTCGTGAATAATAGTTTCTGAATATATATATATATATATATACGACAAAGTAGTTTCTGAATACGATGAGAAAAGTTTCTGAATCCCACAGTTTCTGAAACCAACGAAATAGTTTCTGAAAACATCTGAAAACTAGTTTCTGAATACAGCGCAGTTTCTGAATACAACTTTGTTCTTCGTCCTGCCCTCATCATCCCAAAAAAAAAGGACTCGTGCGCCTCGCAAGCAATGCAGGCCAGCTCCTCTGCAGGATTCTCCTGCGATCACGACATAGCTGTTGCTGAAATTCACCGAACACCTAGACCATGACCAGCCTTCTTAGTGGGTCCACCAAAGAGTCACCCAAAGCGCTACGCCAGCTGGTCAGAAAAAGCTCTGAGAATTCATGCATCGCATCCGCGCATGAGCCACCCATCCCAGCCTCTTCCTTCCAAGCCCCCGATCAACCCGATTGCACCTCAATACCCCCAGCCTCTCGCCACCCCACCGTCCTGCTCACACTCTCCGCAAAGCCAGGGCTCCGCCGGCTCCGCCGGTGGCTTCTCCGGCTCCTCGGCCTTGGCCTTCCTGAAGCCGAGGATGGTGACGACCCATCGGCGGGTTTTCCAGTTCCGGGGGAGGGTCAACGTGGTCGATCCCTGGATTCGCATCTTGTAGATCCCTGTGTCTGCCAAGCCATCAACCTAACACAGGGAATTGGACTATCAAAACATGGGGCCAATTGAATTCCAAGTACATGTAATAAAGTACCCCCTCCTCCAGGTAAGACAGTCGGCCAGCTGCAGACGAAGATTCCCAGGAACAAAAAACCACTGTTTAGGGTCGAACTTCCCAAGGTCCATGTACAGGAAGTCAGTACACTCCCGAAAACTAACATAGACCCTGACAATGGCCCCCCCGGAAGAGTGTTTTCCTCTACCAACCAGTGGTTTTCAGGGTCCATGTTAGTCTTCCAGGGTGTAAGTGAACTCTACTCTTGCCTCCTACAAGAACCAGAGCAACTTTGCACATTTCTGTCTAGACAAGGTATCGTGAACCAGTGGAATTGAATGGAATTGACCTGTAAGGCTTTAAGGGGAAGATCGCCCGTTGGATGCCCACGTGCTCTGCTAACTTCCAGAAAGAACAAACCATCCCGCACGTTCGACGTGCTGGACCAGGTTCTTCTTTCTGCCCACGTGGGCCCACCTTTCAGAGAATGAGAAGCATGGAAAATGACAGTACCTACAATAAGGCCTACGTTCACGATGTTGGTCCATGTTCGAAGTCAATCCAACGGATGACTTTCCACGTTTAATGTCGTGTAGTCCAACTGTCACGTGCTGCATCGCCAACAAACCTTTTTTCAGCTGAGCATCGGTTTCTTCCCCATCAAGCGGAGAGTGAGGTGGCGTTGCTAAAGAAAACTACTTTAACTTTATGCTGCTGGGCCGCATGCATGTCCTTCATCCTTTGCTAGTTTAAAAGTCCGACTAGGGAAAAACAAGTGCTCAATCATCAGGCTGGTTCAATCATATCTGGGAGCCAGTCGTGTCTCCAAGGGAAGGATTATGACTGGCATCAAAACCACCGCTCGACTCATGACTCGCGCATGCGCGACTTGAAGGGCCGCAAGCTGGAGCCAAGCCAGTGGTACAAGCGAAGCTTCCATGAGCATCATGTGGCGCAGCGCCAACTAGCAGGAAGACTGTCAGAGAAAGGGTGCCCAATCAAAGCCCAGTCTAGTCTAGGGTCCATTGGCGGCCCCCCGTTAGGATAGCGGTCGGAATCTACTATGGCCCACACGGACATGTCACATGGAACAGGTGAAGAACATAGTATTAAAGATTTGAAGGATTTTGTAGGTTCAAGGGTTCCTGTTCGCATGTATGATCCCTGTCAACTGCGGCCCCGAACCAAGACCTTCCAGTGCAACCACTGGAACTGAGACGATCGCATCGCTCGTCACTGATGACACTTGTACTGCTTCACCATGGTTTCACCATGGTTTTACCCATTTTCACCCAACTCCAAGGTCAAATGATCCACTGCATTTCCCATCATCCCAAGCGCACAAAAACACAACGAAAAGCCGCGACCGGTCGCTTGTTTCGGCTGCTCCACTGGTGCACATGGCCACAGGGCCATGCCGCGGCACCTGCGGTACAATCCATGCAGCACAAGAGATAGACCTGTAGAACAAGCATGAATTTCTGTAGACCTGCAGAACTATATACTAAGAACCATGGTGGTGACAATTGACAACCAAGTCGTGACAATAGAAGTTCTGTAGATGTTGCCTCATGGTCGTTCCGGTGTCTCTTCTCGTGCTTCATATGAAGCAATTGGCAACGAACTGTTTCCACCAATTCCACCAACTCTTAGTTCATCTTACTCAGCTAGCTAGTGAGTTCACCTGCTGAGCTCGTGTGGACTGTCACATGGGCACCTTTCAACGCTGATCAGGTCTTGACCAGGTGAGGTTGGGAGGTGCAATCACTTCCACCGTGCTTCACCGAGTTGAGCAATGCCTCCGTGCCCAGGCGAATCCGCACGAAGTCGATCCGGTCGAGCCCCCATGTTTCGGCCTTTTTGGCTCCGCCTCCGCGGCAGCGTTGGGCCGAGTCGCGGCGCTGGTGACGCCGTGCCGTGCCGTGACGCCGCGGTCGACGGACTGACCGTCCCCCCCATGGAGGTTCGCCCCAACATTCGCTGGGCCGTTCGCTCGTTCGCGCGATTAGTACATGCCAAGCTTGAAGGGAGGATACCTCACATGGGGCGACTCTGAATGACACGTGGGCTTGGGCAAAGAAAAGGTCTCATAGTCCTCAGCGTAGAGGTGGAGAGCCACTTCACATGCCACCTGCAGGTGGCAGAACGCAAGAACATGAATCTTGAGGCAGCCAGCACGTGGCCTTAACACATGGATCACCGACCCTCTTTTCTGGGTGCCTCCCTTGGAGGGTCCGTATCATACATTGGTTCTCTGAGGTAGACATGCATGATAGGCGCATATACATTCTCTGCACGTGCCACCACAACCACAGGATTTGAGTAGGGCCCAACCAGGAAAGTGTTCAGGGGTTGAAACATGCCAATGCCAATTCACCACTGAACCAGAAGTGAGTTTTACCTGTCAATGCCAACGCAGTGGTGCAGTGGTGCTCCCTTTTCCATTCAAGCATTGGCTAGCAAAATCAGTTTTCAGGAGGGCAAGCACGGGCAATTCCTCCTAACGTAGATTCAAGTCATGATTCCAATGCTTGATTTGCAAGTATGTAGAGTCGAAGCTTCTCGAGCCAATACCTGCTTCCGGTTGCCAGCCAAATATTCAGACAGAACCTCAACTTCTTAAGAACAAATGGTGTCTCGGCGAACAGGGTGCACATTGATGAGCCATGGCGCTCACCAATGTGAGACGGGGCCAAACCGCCAAACCGCCCGGCTCGGGCAACTCCCCGCAGCCCCCGAACATCCCTGAAAGGGGAGTATGGATTCGCCACGATACGCCCTGATACAGTAACTGATACGCCCCTCAGTCGCCCCCTCCAGGCTCTTCAGCCCGGTCCCTCCATCCGACTGTGTGGTGGCCGTAGATCTCGCCGACGTCAACATTTGGGCGAAAGGTCGAACGGTTTGGTCATGGAACTGGGTGCGCCTCGTCGTACTCCTTCAACTTCTTGCCTGAAGACCTCGGATTTGCTAATCAGCAAATAGGGACATACCGTACATACCTGGAACTGGAACTCATGTGACCACTGAGTTGAAACAAAAGAATGCAAATCTTTCGCATCGCACTCACGCCTAGGGCGCCTAGGGCCTAGGAAGGTGCTCCCCCATCTTTCGGATGGCTTGTCGTTCTTACGCATCACCGTCCGCTCTTTCGGAACATGCCTTGCAACAGACTTCTTCCACCAAAGAAAGGCTTCACATCTACAAGTCTACAAGACTTGGCAAGGATCTGCCAACACTGCAGCTCCCATCTCTGGTCCTACGTGCCGCATGCCGCTGCCCCCCCCAGCTCCCACCCGACTCCCAGGTCCCTCAGGTGCCTCACCCGACTCTCAGGCCCTCTCATCCCAAGGTGCGGTTGGACTCTCCGATCGGCCGCTACCTTCTCCAGCTTCTTCAGCTTGGAATGACTCATCTGTCCGGTCATCGCCAGCAGCGCACAGTCGTGCAGATAGGGGTGAAACTCCTTGCGACGGTCCATGTACATCACATACCTCAGCAGCACTGGATGAGGTGAAGGATCGAATGGCATCAGAATGGCAGACTCCGCCAAGGCGTTCGGGTGACGAACTTGGAACGAAGACCCCCTCAGAATACTCTGACCCTTCGCGCCGATTCGTACACATGTATGACATACACAGCCCTCCCCAAAAAACAGGGCAGACCCCCAAAGGTCAAACTTTGCAAACAAACACATGATGGATAAAACGCATGACTTGGGAACTTTGAGGGGGTGGCCTATTAACTAAACATATTGCGTACCAAAAATGAATCAAAACAAAATGTACAATCAGACGCGTCATCCAAAAGAAAGAAAGAAAAACGCTTGCCAGCCACCGCAGGATACTGGTACGTCTTCTTAAAGTGCCCCAAGGAGCAAAACTCTGCCTGCTTGCGCCAGAAGTCGCTCACCACCAGCCGTTCCCGGATCCCAGCGGCTACCCGCACCACGAACTCGGGAAAGGTGACCTTGCGCTTCCGGAGCCGATGCCAGGGCACGTTCAAGACCTGGGCAGCGCTGGAGGAGTTTGGGGGAGGAGGGGAGCTGGGTCAGGTGGGGAGCTTAGCCTGATTTGGCCGGAACGTTTTTGGGGGAGGTCTAAGACCCACTTAATCTTGCTTGACCATCTCGTGACCGTGCTGGACTCACGCCCCGTGCGAACCAGCCATGTCGGGCATGGTTCCTTCGTAGTCGTAGACTCCGGCCCAGCACCCGATCAGACTTGTGCGGGGTCTTGGCATCAGACTTGTTGCGCGAGGTACCACAGGCGTCAGGGTTGCCATGTCCCAGTGAAAACCCGAGACAGAACTTCCAAATGGCCTCCGCAAGCCCCCTCTCACTCTTCCGAATGTGACCTGCCGAACCTCCAAAGGGATTCCGTTGAGGCTAGGGATAGGCAGAAGTAACTGACCCAGGCCGAGCGCGGGGATCTTTCAGGGTGAAGAACGAATGGATTCGCCCAGCCTAACCGCTACTCGATAGGTGCTCAAACCTCCTGCGACCTCCATGCGCATGAAACACCTCCACACACGTTCATCGGTGGACCTGCTGAGAAATCCACACAACACCAGACCAGGACCAGGAGGACCCGAGCTGCTGTAGATTCCAATGTTGAAGAGCACTGTGCTAATGGGACAGTGGCTGATGGATGTTGTCTGCTCCAAACCGGATCGATGTGAAAAAAGTCTCGACTCTGAGATGCACAAACCAGTCCGACTGCTCGACGAAGATGAGCATGAATTCCCTGGTTTCGTCCAAGACTCGACCATTGAAACGGAGACCCTAGATGATCCGAGTTCAGGAACTTCCTTTACGTCCGGAAGGAACTTCCTCAAATAGGTCGACCTGGACTTCGGTCGGGTTCATGTTGAGCTGAATTCGCCGGGGGCCAAAACCTTGACGATGCCGCTCAAGGCAGGAGACCCGTGCCACCTCCGCCGTGATGTTCTTGTTCGGAGGCTTTTCGGTGTTCACCTCGAGACGAGTGAGTAACAAGGGCAGGGCATTTCGACTCGACTAAGAGAAGTAGAAGCGCTACAAGAAGCGACGAACGTAGCTCCTGGCCACACCACATTGGAGCCAAGAAGCTACGAACGCATACTGTATACGGCCGCTGGTTTCTCTCGGGACCGTTGATTCCGATCCCGTCCCATGGGTCCCATGCACGAGACGACGGATTCGACGAAGCGTTGAGCATCAAGTGGATGGCGGGTTCCCCCCTCTTCGATTCAGTGACTATATAGTTTAGGGCGACTATATACCTTCCCAACAACTCTACCGGATCCATAAAACAAATTCAAACTCTACAACGAAGCCAGGCTCTGTGGCACCTGTGGTCCGTCTTCAATCTTTGGGGTGGGTTTTGGGGTGCCAAGCTACGAATGTCAGGTGCCTAAAAGCTTCTGTCCGTGTTCTGGCTTCGCCGTTGGCTGTTTGGGTGGCCCAAACATGCCCAAACAGCATGGGGCCTCCCCACCTTGGTGGAAAAGGCCGCCAGCAAGCGATCCAAGGGATCGCGCACCACGGCCAGCTTGGTCCAATTGGGATCGAACATCATCCGCAACGCCTCGCCTCGCCTGAACGGCCGGCGCCGGTGAACGGGGGTTTGCCGGGTGAACCAGCCGGGATCGAGCCATGGGAGGCCTGGAGTGGCGAAGTCCTCATCCTGAAGATTCCTTGAATCAACGGAGTGGCCAGGCCTGGACTTGTGGCCAGGCAGGATTTCTGGTATGCTGCATGCTACACATACATTGCACAAACCTTCCGTTGCTCACATCGCATTCCAACATGTTTGGACCTGAGGAGTCATAGGAACCGAACCCAGGTCCAAGAAGAATCAATACGCAGTGGTGTCAGAGTAGAGATTACACAATCCCAGAAAGATTGCTGGTGGTTTATATATAATCATATCTAGACCCCCAGACATCCCCAAAAAAACGCTTCACTTCACGACCTCGGACCACCTGCGCTGCTCCAGTGACCTCCGACGACCTCGGACCACGCACGACTCGGGACTGACTCCTTTGGCGCCGCGTGGCTCGTAGTCGCGCAAGGTGGTCAAGTTTTGCCCCTGGTTGAGCCAACGCAGCACGGCGAACCAGTCGGCGGAATCCACCTTTTGAATCCTCGGGGTTGGGACGGAGTGCAGAAGTACGTCAGGTTGGGAGTGGGCAGGGAGAAAGCGCACTCCAGTTTGGAAGTGGAAGATGGGCGGAAGAGGAAAGAGACCTTTCCTTGATCCTTTGCTCTGGGTGGGCAGGTACGTCCCTGCCAAAGGACTCCTTTTGAGTTGGGGTTTTCAGCCAACGGGAAAAGGAAAATAGGTGTTTCAGCCAACGGTTTTTCGCCCGAACAGTCTCGCCCAGAACATGCCCACCCGTGAAAATGCGGGCGAGCGCAGGGCTCGACGACGACGTCACGGGTCACATCGAGAGCAGTCACGACGACTCAAGTTGAAGCGAAACAACGCTCCGAGCTCCCGAGCTCGGCAAAGGTATAGCAGCTCGGCTGCAGCCAACATTTGATCAGGAAAAACACGGTTTATCTAAGGTTGTGAGGAAGGTTTCGGCTTCTGTTCGAAGCCATCGAAGAGTCCAGGAGCTTCTTGAATATGAAAATAGATCAAAAAAGAAAATCAACCAACAAAGAGAGCCGCGAATTAGACCACATGTGGATCCCTTTTTGTTGTTGATAGGACAAGGGCCACCTGTTGGATGGATGCTGCGACGATGGATGGCACTCCATCACAGTTTAATCGCTTTCGCCGCGCCCTCTCTCTCTCTCTCTCTCTTATTATTATTACATCCAATTCCACTGGAAAACAAGTTAGAACATCACCTGCTGCATCTCAGGGCTCTGGCAAAAGATCAGGTTTTCCTCTGGGACCACGAAAGCGTTTAGCCACCTTGCAGGTACAGGCACTTGTGAAAAGCATCGCGAACTAGGATTCTACTTTCCACAGTCGTGAGGTCCAAAGGAAGAGTGATTGCTGCATGATTGTCAGACCCTCTTCCTCTCTCCCTCTCCGTCCCTTGCTCGCGATTTCTTCCTTGCTCCATTGCTCCCTCGCTCTATCTATCTATCCTAATCTAAATCTAATCTAATCTAATCTATAATCTATCTCTATCTCTCTCTCTGTCTTTTGGAGCCTAGCTGCCTCTGGCAGCTGTTCAACTTGTGTAGTGAGTAGACTCAAAAAAGAGCCAAGTCGCGTCAACCGCCACCCAGGCAGTCTTAACACAATCCTCTTATGGGCCCTTCGTGGCCCCGAATTCCTTTTAAAAAAAGTAAACAAGCAACAAAAGAAATGAACTCTGCGCTCTGCACCTGTCTGAATGTTCGGAATACCAGATGTCGAAGTCCGTGAGGTTTGAGCTCACCTCTTTTTGCCGCCAGTCAGCACAAGAGATCTTGGCCACAGGCACCTCAGGCTTCCTCTCACTTAGTGGACTGGCCACAGTGTAGCAAAGCGTGGCAAAACCGTTCGGGGAATATCTATATGTCAACGTCCCATTCACCCCTATACAGTGTGTGCTCCCCCCAAAAAAAAAGACTGCATCGAACATGAACCAATCCAAAAGCAGGACCTGTTTTCTATTGTTCCATATTCTATCTACTCCAGGATGCCTGTATGTAAATATAAATGATATGGATATAAAGATCATCAAAAAAACATTATATATATATATATATTATGTATGATGTACATGTGAGCAATCACTTGAGCGGATCAGTCCTCCTGAAGCGAAAGGAGAAGGGCTGTTCCTGACTCAGAATCGCCCCGAACGGAGCAAACACGTCCGGCACGGTTCAACCCACTGGACCCTGGACCAGTCCCAACGGAGAAGAGCCCCCCACATCAAGTGCGGAAAAGAGCTGTGGGGTCTACCATTGTCAACAACGAAAAGGATGATGATACGGATGCATCAGCTTCGCCAAGTTTCAATCCCATAGATGTAGAAGCTGACCCAGGCCAACGTCACGGCAACCAGAACCACCACCACGAAGAGTCGCAGCATGGCACCGCCCGATGTCCCGAGCCTTTTGAGCCGGGAGGCCGGGAGGCCGGTCACGGTGGTCGGATTGTGCAAATCCAGGTGGTAGGCTGACAAGTGTGGTAGGCCTGGTAAATCCGGGAATCGTCTGGTTGCTGAATCTCAAGGCTCCATTCACCGACAAGTCTGACCCACTCTTCAGGAAAAGCAATGTACAGCAGAAAGTGGAAATGATCTCAACTCTCCATGCCAAACCTGCTTTGGCGTCCCAAGCGGTCGAAATGCCCAAGCTGCTCAGAAGCTCAGCTCTTCGGTGATGCCATGCTCCACCAAACCCAAAGCATGTGGATGATCAAGCTGGATAAGGTTCTGGATCTCTTGCTTCAGAAAATTCATATCTCGGTGGACCTCCAACATGCCCAGTAAGCTTGGTTCAAGTTCAAAAGACCGAAAAGGGTGAAGTAGATGGCTAGATGGAGCAGCTATGAGCAGCTCACATCTGCTTTTCACCTCGGCATAGTTGAACCCAGAACCTATCCCAGAGGTTCAGAAGAAAACAAAACAACGAAGTCACACTTGGACATGTTTCTGTGTGTTCCCCGCCAACCACCGAGTACTGCAGAGGTGCGGCTGGTGCCCAAGCACTGCGGTCACGCAGAGCGAGATGAGGGCCGCCAACCCGCGCCCACCCGGCCTCCAAACCAAACTCGGATGGCTCAAGTCTTCCCCAAGTGGTTGGTATTTGGGGGGTGTGCCGCTTAAGTCGACTTTCTTGGAATGCACACCAGGTGCACAAAGAATATAGGCCATGGTGAGTTGTGAGGGGTGCAAAGCTTTCTCTACAAGCTGGGGTGGGTCCTGTAGATGAGGGCGGGACCATTTTCGCCATGACCTCTGCATGTGTGTATAACTTTCTGGCTTTCAACCTGAGGATCCACCAGATCCAAACTGCTGCGCAGTAGTAGTCGTTCGGCGGGAGGTCCGCTTCCAAACGAAATGGTTCCATGATGCATACCAAAATACTAGCTCTCAGCCACCAACCTCCATTTTCCCCATGCTGTAGTGCTAAGACTGGCCAGTAAAACAAAAACGTAGTTGGATTGATGACGCATGTGCATGTGCAAATCTAGGAATCTAGGTGCGCATGTATAACAAGAAATGCAGCAATGCATGTTTAGATGTGCACGTGGGGGGCAATGTGTACAGAATTTAGTATAGACATGTGTAGACTTTCTCTCTGGAGCTTCCAAAATCGTCTCCACTTCAAGGGGATCCATCAGGCCCTTTAAGCCCTTTGCGCGGTGCATTTTGAAACTGCTGGGCCACCCAAGGTGATACAGAACCCAATGGGTCCCAAAGCATGGTACTTGAAGTTCCGGCAGTTCTGGGTCCCGTTCCTTTCAGTCCCATGTTTGCGCGCTTGACATGAAGAGACACGCAATATATTGCAATATGCTGTACCAGCCGTACCCTGCTACAACAAGCCATGCTGGCCAGCGGGAGGCGCCCGCGAAACCGCCCTGCTCGCCCCGGTCCTTTTTCCCCGTCGTCGCCGCCCGCGAAACTGCGCACAGTGCACCGGGGGACCCCAAGACCAGATGGGCCGATGGAAGTTGGACGGGGTGTCCGCGGCCACGTGGCGGTCTGGGCACCCTAATTCCATGATATTCCATCGACGAACTGAAAAACGGAATCGTCGGTTCATGATGGTTCATGACCTACAGCGCAAGGTGCTGGATCACTTGGAATCGACTGCTCCCCCTTGGCGAGAACGCCTCATCACCCCCCTCCAGCTAGCGAAGTTCGGACTACCCGCCAGATGGCAATAGCTGGACACCTTCTTCGGAATGGTGGCTGGTGTATAGGTGGAAGATGTGTGTTGTCGGAAGACGGATGGCTCCTTCTCATAGCCACACGGTGCGGCTCTTTTGCTAGCCACCCTGGTCCTGGGGTGCCAAACGTATCAAGGCCCTCCGCTTTCGCGTGAGGAAGGGCCCCAAGCAAAAAAAGGCAGGCAAAAACAGCAAAACCAAAAGTGCAAAAAGCCTTCCATAGAAGGAAACGCACGAGTGGTTGTTTCCAGAGGCAGGATCACATATCATCACATCTCCAGGAAATATGTACCTGTTTGCTTACTGAAGCTCTTCGGCTCGGCCCCTCCTAACATCTACTTCCATTCACGAAGAAACATGCAACATGTTCAACATATCAAGGAAACACGTCACATTATCACATGTGTCTTGTGTCGTTCGTCTATTCCTTCATAGGCTGACCTCTTAAAACAGCCAAGACAGCACATGCCGCTTGCACAGGCGCCGTGGCGACAGTCTGAGCACGCCTTGTAGAGACCCCAAGCCAAGCGAAGTCTCCGACAAAGACATCCGACCAATGGTTGTTTAATGCTACAGGGCTGTATGAGCATTGGAATCATAAATACATCTTCCGTGTTGCATTTCGCCCATTGTTGCACGCTCTCATCAACCCTCTACTGTCATCAAGCGAAGTCAATGCTAAGTCAATATTCGGACAGCCGGTTCCCATCCTGGCCCATGCCTTGAGAAAAAGCAATTCATCACTGTATATACACAACGTGCATATGTCCCAAGTCAATCAAAGGAAGGATGAATCAAGACCCGCAGATGTTCGTGAACTTAGCTCTTGGAGACACACCCAGGTGTGATTGCTTTATTTGTTCTTGAAGGAAAAATATCCGTGAACTCGCTTCGGCTTAGAGCCATTGCAAAGACCGTCATTCTTGGAGAAATCACTTGGTCACCATCTTGTAACCACTTCCGCACTGCGCGCCTAAGGCATGTCTGAGGTGACACATCACTTGAACATCATCTGGCTGGAATGCGGAGAAAAGAACTGCCATCGCATCAGCGTCGACACAATAAGCAAAAACCCGTCATGAAACACCTATGACTTGCCACATGCAGGACAACCTTCGTTGATCTCAAACCAGCCAAACCAGCAAGCCTAGTACCGTGGAAAAAGCTAGAGGCTCGCTTCAAAACTCAGCAAGTGGTGCAAGGTTGCCGCCCCAATGACCTTCACTCTGAGGGACCTTTACAACAATCAAACAAGCAGAATATATGACTCTGTGACTATGAGGGCCGAGCTCAACATGCAAAACCGTCGATCCACGCCATGAAACAAAAAGCCTGGCCTTCAGGTCCCGTGGTGCTGGTGGCCCACAGCTGAACCCCAGTAGCAAAAGTACCAGACTTGGTCCGTTCGGCGCTTCATTGCTTCCTTCCCGACCAGTTGGCGAGATTGACTTCTCCAACCGATCCCACATGTTGCTTTCGGCTGGTGCCGGTGGCTGGTAGGGAATACTGTTGTCACATGCAGCGGGGCGCCAACTCCCAAATGCAAAGATGGGGCTCCGTCTACAATCGGCTTACCCTAAAAAAGCCTGAGGCCCCACATTCTGAGCATCGCACCTGGCCTGCAGAACGCTAAGGCTACATGTTGAAAACCCGTTGGATCGTGAAAGCCTAGCAGCTAGGCTTAGCCCGGATCCCAGAGTTGTGAGCCTTGGGACAGCAATGGATGGATGGCTATGGAACATTCTGGTATTTGTCACTTCACCCAGTACCGTGCTGGCCCCTTCGCCCACGGTCACAGACGACCTCACAGCTCCTGCGCGACGGCAGAACGACCCAGTCATGGGACTGAGACATCCCTGGTCGACCGAGGCAGGACACTCCGGGAGGGACGACCAGTAAAACCTGACGAACGAACGAGCAGAGCAGCTAGCACTTTGGAAGTGGGACCAGGGCGCAGATCATGTTCTTGACCCAACACCTCAGATCGAGCAGTATGCCTTCTTCGTCCCAGAGAACCGCGCTATGCATGAGATCCGTTGCCCGTTGCACCTTTCCGTTTTGCTCGTTTTCCTTTGCTGGTTTGCTCATCATCCAGGCGAACGGCCCTTTTCGACCGCGGGTTGTCAACTCCTTCCATTTGCAGCTGGTGGTTCCACCGTCTAAGAGATCCTGTAGGACTGGTCCAGTGTTTTTTTCTGGTCGATCATGGTCCTGTAGCCGCGGCAGCACCCCGTGACCTCCAAACCCCCAATCCAAATTCGGTACCAGTTGACCTTCCAAGCCCCTCCAGCCCAAAACTCCACCACTGGGACTTCTGCCCCAAAAGACCAAGATAGCCCAAGTCCCTCGCTGTTGCTGCGGTTTCACCCCACCCCACCACCACCCCACGAGGGACCGCGCGGTCCCTCCCGCGCGCCGAAGACCAACGCGCCTGGCCCGGCGCTCCACCCGTCGTCTTCGACGCCTCGCGGCTGGCGTCATGGAACCAACTTGAGAGGAGGGAGACACGAAAGGTAGGACAGCGGGAAGAGAAGAGAACACGAGAGGCAGGAACAAAAAATGCAATGTTCGACATGGTGATTTATCCCCTCGGAGGCGACCTTTCTCTCGAAATGTTCAAAAAGATTCTTAGGAAAACAAACTTGCCCCATGGCTCAGATCATCGGTGAGCATTGAATCGGAACATCATAGGATTTGAACTATCCTGAAACCATAAGAGGCTCACGAAGACGCTCCCCAGGAGAGAATTGACGCGCTTCACAGAACACCTTTCGTGAGTAGAATTTCATATTCACTCTTTCTGAATGTTCAAGAGGGTTTCAACTATCCTGAAATCATGAGAGGCTCACGAAGACGATCTCCAGGAGAAAATTGATTTGGGGGGGGGGGGGGGGGGGGGTCTGAATTGAGCGATCAATTATTAGACCCGGACGTCCCAACACTTGCTTCGCAAGACAAACTCAAGGTATCCCCTAAAGGGCTACCTTTCGTGAACAATGAACAGATTCCTCCTACCAAGGGAGGTCCAAACGAGTAGGGTGGGTCTGATGGAAAAGCATCTTGAGGAAAACCAGCCAAATAGAGTCAATAGGAAGGAGTTCCAGTCGACTGGAACCAATGATGCAAAATGGAACCAGCCTCCAGTCGCCTGGCAACCGCCAGTACATAGACTTATATAATACTTATATAGTTCTTACAGGCCATGGCATTCTGGCTAGGCCAACGGCTCGACAGCGACAACCTGAACCGAAACAGTTCGTGCGGTCTAGTCTATATAACTCGAACCAGCCTTGTTGAACCATCTCAAGCGGACAGGAGGTTGATGGCTGCGAGGAAAAAATATGAAAAAATGATACCATACACACACCCCTCAAAAAACTGATGTGTTGAAAGTGTGTCTGACGCAGGGAGTCCATATTTCCAGCACCACTACCTGCGGTGAAAGGGATCTCCATCCTCCCACAGCGGCTCTCCAACTCGCCCCACCGGTCGCCTGTCGGGTTAGGCGCCTTTGCTCGCCTGGCGCAAGTCCCATCCGAGTTGGGGCCCTGGGTCATGAGCTGGGCATCTTCGTTTTGCGCAAGTCATCAGCTCATGGTGAGCACAAGTCCCTTTTTGGGGGTGTCCTGCCAGGATGATGGTGATAACTAAGGGTTGGTGCACAAGTGGGAGGTGTGCGACAAAAAAATACAGTATAAGTGGTTGTCTTGAAATCAACGCGTTTTTGGTGCAAACAGTTCTGTCACGTCGGTGACGAGAACACATGGCATTTGAGAGCTTCATCGCATGGAGTTGAAAACTCATTAGAGTTCATCACTGCATTTTGGGCAGTTCATGGTTCACTCCCTAATTAGGGCTCCAAGCACATGCATTCTAAGGTGGTTGGGTTGGGCTGGGTTTGTGGGGTCCAACT